TAACAAAATTCACCGTTAGGTTGAATGAGAGAAAACACTGTGGTTAATTTACTTATTTGCTTATCATTTCATCCCATTACTCCTGCTTGTGCACCCTCAGACCACCTTAATACAATTATTCTTCCTTACTGGTGTTTATACTAGACACATTCTTAAAAGTTAAAACTGGTTCCATTTAGTAGCTTACTTTGTGGCAAGGTGAACTTTTGCAAAGTAAGAGTGAAGTCCTGACTCCACTGAGGTCAACAGGGCCAGGATGTCACTCTAAACTTTTTAATAGTATCTCTCTCTCTCTCACACACGCACACACCCCTTGGCACATGTGTTTGCAAATTAAATGCTCAAAGGTCAGCCATTTCAACACAGCATCTTTCCATGCCAAGTTTCTTTTCATATCATCTGTACAAATGACATCCTCAACAAAACACAAGTAGCAAGACAATTGGAAGCTATTGTAGCTTTTTATTTTACAATAGCACCCAGTTTCATACCAGATACATTTTCCAAAATTGGATGTGCATAGTATAGAATGTTATATATCTTGCAATCTACCACACTAACATTTCTGCAGCTGTGAAAACAAGTCTTCTGGAATATGGTTATCAACTACACTGTATAAGTAAATATACAAATATATAGTAACCTGAGGGGAACTTTTTTAAATTTTTAGATTAACAATAAGGCTCCCAATACCAGTTTTATATCAAATGATCAATAGCAGACAAAGATGTAATACATAGTTTCATGAAGATAAAGAAAAGCTTCAAAATATATATTTTTTCTCATTTGGGATAGTCATGTCTTGAAAAAATAAGTTTTCACTCTAGTTGCTAAAATATGTGGGTTCATTATCCCTCTTTCCCATCCTGACTTTTATAACGACAACTACTTCTTGTCAATTAAGGTGTATATGTGCTGAAGGCTAAAGGACTGGCAGTGCTGGAGAAGTGATGCTCCTCCCTTTCAGACTGGAAGCTTTCACAAACTGTCTTTGTCATGATCTGGGATTTAAACTTGGCGGAAGCAGCTTCTACAACAGGGAGAGAGAATTGCCATATTAAGCTTATCCTAAAGCTTCTTGTGAAGAGTTCCAAATCACAACCACCCCCCAAGGTAGTTCTGTAATGCAAACAATTGTCCTCCGAGTCTTGTTAGGTATGAAGTAGGGTTTGAGGTATGAAAAACTCAGTCGCTAACCTCCCTCATTGCATCGCTCAAGATTATTTCTTATTTTAGGCCAGGCCACCACCTAAATAAAATTGTCTACCCTGCTTGCATGTGCAAGCGTAGTATGTGAAATGACAAGATATGCTCCGAGACCCTGAGTACAATATGAAGCTTGGAATGTTTAGAAGAAAGCTGAAAAAGTTCCTCTCGCTGAAGTGACCATCTCCCATCCTATAAAACTGTGCTTGGAAATAATGTTTCAAGTTAAAACTGACATTTCTGAACCTAACAGGGTGAACTTGCTAATGATTGAAATTTTTTAATCCATCAATATGGGAGCCATAATAAAAGATATTATATAAATTTCCATGGTGTCCTAATACTAGTTTAATAACCAGAACATTAATCTTTAATATTTAATATCTTTAAACAATGTTCTGTGATTGTAAAGTCAGACTGTTCTATCTTTAAACAGGTCCCCACAACTTGTTCATTGTGTCTGATGTTGAGCCATTATATACATTTAGAACAGAAATAAAATGGCCTGATTTTCAAACAGTTCTTAGCACTTTGTTCCCATTGACTTCAACGGGATTTATGGATGTTCAGCACTTCTGAAAATCAGGCCATTACAAGTGCTTAATTTTAGGCACCCATGTTTGAAAAGTTTAGCCTAAGGCTACAATTTTGAAATTGCCTATGTGACATAGAAGCCAAAGTCACATTTTCAAAAGTGACTTAGGAGCTTGGGAGCCTATGTCTCATTGAAAGTCCTAAGTCACTTAAGCACTTGACATTTTTTCCTTACGTCTCATTGAAAATTAATGGGACTTAAGCTTCTAAAGGCCTAGGTCACTTTTGAAAATGGGACTTAGCTATATGCACCTAAATAAATGGCCTGATTTTCAAAGGAGCTGAGCACCTGTAACTCCCATTACATTTTATTTTTAAACCAAAATAACAGCAGGAGCGGATTTTACATCTTCTGTAGGCTATCAGAACTCTCAAAGTACTAGGAAGATACTCCAGGTAACTTGCTTCCTGATTTTGTGCTTCAGAGATAAAACATGTCTCAAGTCTTCCCTTGCTATTTTGCTTTCCACACTGTGTAAAGTGGTACACCATCATCAATAATATAATAAACGACATAAAATGACTGAATTAGGATGGCCCCTTGAGCTCAGTAGAACATTAGAATGCAGCTCTAAAAGCTCAGCATCAGAAATGGTATAAACCCTTTTATGTATTAACCCCTATGATTCAGGATGACTATGGGCCTGTCTACACTTAAAAGGCAGCAGTGGCACAGCTACGCTGATGCAGCTGTGCTGCTGTAGCGCTTCAGTGAAGACACTACCTACCCTGACAGGAGGCGTTCTCCCATCAGCGTAGGTACTCCACCTCCCCGAGAGGTGGTAGCTATGTTGACAGAAGCTCTCCCATCAACATAAGGCTGTCTACACCGGAGTTAGTTAGGTCAGTACAGCTGCCTTGCTCAGGGGTGTGGACATAAGTTGCTAGTGTAGACCAAGCCTAAGTAACATGTTCCACTGATGGTCATCCAGGTATCCCGATTCATAGTATAAGGAATAATTATAATAGTACTTTGCATGACAGATCTTTGAAAAAGCCCTATGGACTACTTTTCTCCACCCTTACTTAAGCGTAGCATCTTACTCCATGAGTAGTCCCACTGAAATAAATGAGGCTTCTTGTGAAGTAAGGTCCTACTCAACATGAGTAAGATCTGCAGAATCTCACCCAAAGTGCTTAATAAAACATTTGCACATTTCTTAAGAGTTGAAAACCTTTTTCCAAACATTCTGGATCACAAATATGGAAAGTGCCACCCAACTCTGTCCTTTAAAATTGTCATTTTGTTACTTAATAAAACGACAAAACAAGAATTAAAAAAAATTTAAACTCACTCAAATCTAACAATTCAATTTTGTAAATGAAAAGAATGACTCGTGTATGCAGTGTTGGTCCCAGGTTATTAGAGAGCCAAGGGGGATGAGGTAATATCTTTTATTGGAACTACTCCTGCTGGTGACAGAGACAAGCTTTTGAGCTACAAAACTTGTCTCTCTCACCAACAGAAGTAGGTCCAATAAAGGATATTACCTCACCCACCTTGTCTCTCTAAGAATGACTGGTGTAAGTTCTGAACATTGTCACTAATAGGGAAGATCATGGCAGATTTCTTCTGCAGCTCACTGGGAGAAGCTGTTATTCTAACTTCATTTAGTCACAAGCCATGGTCATCTCATTAACATGAGATGTTTTAACATTAGCATTAACACAGAAGTAGTCAGAAATCCAAAAATTCAGTTCTGTGTCGTACACACGAACAGTGGTTAGCTAGCTAAGGAGTGACGTACAACTCTACCCCAATATAACACTGTCCTCGGGAGCCAAAAAATCTTACCGCATTATAGGTGAAACCGCGTTATATCGAACTTGCTTTGATCCACCAGAGTGCGCAGCTTCTCCCCCCCCCGCTGCGCTGCTTTACCGCGTTATATCCGAATTCGTGTTATATCGGGTCGCGTTATATCGGGGTAGAGGTGTATTACCAAACAAACTTTCAGTTAACATAGTTTTACAAATGTGAGGACTGCCCTCCCAACATTGGAATAATGTTTTATAAACTCTGAATCCATATAAACTTCAGCCAAGGGAGTCTGTTCAGTCACCATGTCAACTTTAAACATTTACATTGATGTCCTTCTTGTTTTACGTCTCAAAAAAACTTCTGGCTGCTCTGCTATTCTGCTTCAGCTTTTTCACATTTATCCATTTTGCACTGTATCCTGACAGGAGACTGGCTAGTTATTTCTAACCCATCCTTGGGGAGCATTCCAAAACAAGATGGATAAAACATCAAAAATAATAGAAGAAAATGTACGCAGAGCTTTTGCAAACTTAATGCAGACGCGTAGTTTACATCACTGAGCAATGGACTATACAATGCATCTCATGTGGGGCTGCGAGGGGGGAAGGAAAGAAATAGGATGGCATGCATGCTATGTTTTTATCAATGAGGCATATGTCAAAGGGGACAGGCTGATTTCATTACTTCTAAAACTACCTGTTATAAGAGGATTGGCCCAATAACTAAAAGGTTCACTAGAAAGCTTCCATTGTCAGAAAGTCTCATAGAGGACTTAATCCAATGTCCACTGAAGTCAATGGAAAGATGCCCATTGACTTCAACTGGCCCTGGATCAGACCCAGATAGAGTACTATAGCCTTTGACTCTCTCTTTGGAGAAGGGAAAGGTCCTGGGAGCCTCATCCTGTAAGGAGCCTCTCCTGTGCAGTATTAAGGCCACTCAATGGACAACCCCTTGTAGGATTCATTTCTTCACATCATAGTCATTAAAAATCCTACCTAGAGCATATACATATGTTTATTTCATTTGGAATCAAACATCTAGTTCAGGTCCTTTAAAAAAACGCAATAGCTAGTAAAACAGGAATGCAGACCAATGCAAACAAACATGAAATAAAACCCATGTCTCCAAAGACAAGCACAATATACAGTATGCTTCATTTTAACTTCCAGTGGTAAAATTACAATGCTGTTGTTTTAACAAGCACACATTAATTACATACAGAGAAACATGCCCATTTCTAGCTTTCCCTGTGGAGTATAGCTTTAAAAAAAAAGTTTCTAAAATCAGCAAGTTTCAACACTTTTTAGTTCTCAAAACTGCATTTTCACATGATTTTTAACTTATAAAACACAAACCCTGCAATATTTATAAGACATAAATGACCAATAATCATAAATGGCACTAAAAAGACAATTAAGTCACAGGTGATTGTGAATATAGACTATCTGTACAATTATTTTTATTCTCTTTTGTGTTTTAAAACCACAGACACTAACTCCTGGTATAAACCTATGTGAAATCAGAAACATCCAAGAAACCACCTTAGAATAGGAACTTTAAATATAAAGAAGAATTTTGAATGCATGAAACTTTTAATAATTGGTTTTCAAGGAAGTACATAAATCAGGAATTCTTTAAATAAATAAACCACTAATAATTTCAGAGTTAGATGATTGATTTTGGTGGTTAACTGCATTTTGTAATGTCCTGAAGGACAAGTCGGAAATAACTTTCATTTCTTAGACATAACCTACGGTTTGACATTTATCTCATCTACCCTCTTCATCTGAAAGGGAAAATGTGCAAGGTGGTGTGCAAAAAAACCCAACAAACCCAACTCACATTCCACTTTGCCTCAGTGAAAACTTTACAAAGACTTCACATTGTTGTGCTAATAGAGTCAAAAATTCTTGGCACAAATGTCCATTTATTGCCATTAAATAATGTACTGAAGGTCACAAGACAGTTACAGGACGAAGCTGTTCCAACTGAGTCTCCAATGCAATTCGTTCTTTGTGAACTTCCTGGAGCACAGAGAAAAAAGAAATGCTATAACTTTTGTGGCACCAACACATACAAAGCTGCATTATTAAAGAGTAGTCTAGTAACAGCTGGCATTTACTGCAGATCTCATACCACTTACATCACGCTTTATCGTTTCAAGGCACCATACAAACGTTAGACAATTAACCCTCATAACAACCTACTGAGATAAGTAGAATTATTCTCTTTTTACAGATGGGGAAATGAGCAGAGAGAGGCCAGGGACTTGCCCAACCTGGCCGATGAGAGGAAGGATGGCCCAGTGGTGAGTGCACAGACTTGAGACACCTGGGTTCAATTCCCTGCTCCAAAACAGACTTCCTGTGTGACCCTGGCATGCTACTGTCTCTCTCAGTTCCCCGTCTGTAAACTGGGGATAGCAGCACGACCTGACCTAATTGGAGTCTTGTGAGGATCAGTACATTAAAGACTGTAAGGTGCTCAGATGTGCAAATGGGGGGCATATAAATACCATAGAGAAAGAGAGTCAAAAATGTAATGGTGGCAGAGTGTTTGCTATTAAAACTTACGAGTGAGACATCCTTCCCCAAGGTCAGTCCACTGGGCCATACTGCCTCTTTTTACCTTGCTATTGAAGGTTGCATGCTCAGCCCTGGTAGGGATAGTCTGCCTTGCACTGCTCCTGAGAGATCCTTCTAGACAATTCAGGAATAGTGGTAATGATAAACTCCTATGTGGAATTACACTTCAGTCCTGATCCAAGGAAGGTGGTTGTAACATGGGACGTTGAGTGAGTGGGGTGGGATGTGAAGCTAGGAAAAATATAGCATGGGGATTTCTCAGGACTGTGACAGAGATGCAGAGGAATGCTAAAGGAAGGAAAGAAGGTCAAGGCAGGCCGACTCAGTGGCAGCCCACTGCACTATTAGGTAGGACATCAGGGTTCAGTTTCTGGTCCTGGTCTCACATTTCCAGACCATTATAGAGCTGGAAGTGCTGCAAAAGGTGGCACTTTCAACCTGGTAGGGAAAAGCAACAGCAGTCTCCTCTGACTGATTGGCAATCAGTGTTGATGGTCTCTGAAAGGATTCCCAGTATGTTCAGACCTGCTTACGTAGAAGTATGATAGTCTATATAAGTGACATGAAGCTTCAGCAGAAGAAAAATGAAGGAATTTATTGACTTCATGACTGGACAATTAAAAAGAACAGAATTTATTTTTATCAGGAACTTACCAATTTAAATACGCCAAGAAGTTCTCAAATACAAGCCAATGGATAGTGTTTTAAAATCACTCTTAGAAGCTTATCTAAGGCAACAGTACAGCCAATACTTTGTATACTGAATGACTGAACGTAAGAAGCTAAACAACAACTGATCAGGACAAAGAAAACTATGGCTGAGTTCCTCTCATGCGTGAGGAGAGGGAATTAAATGCTCTAGGAGCATTCAAAAGACAAGAATTATCATTTAAACTCAATTCAATCGACAACACAGCCCTTTGCACTTAGGTTACGCATTTTCTTATATAGACCACTCACCCCTAAAGGTACAGCGTAGCCACTCTTTCAAAAGAGAGTCTGGAAACAAAGCAGTAGGTTTCATCTATAAAGAGAAACTAGATCCTTAGCCAGTGGTGAAAAACACCCGATTGCATCAAGTCTTGTAATTGTGATATTCAATGTGTTCCTTACCTTCAGTTGCTGCTGGAGTTCACTGTTCAACCTGGCTAGCACCGCATTGGCTTCTTTGTTTTTACGAATAGTAGTCTGAATAGCCCTCTTCTGTTTGGAAGACTGTCTGCTGGAGATAAATACAAAACATTTCAATGAAAAGAGCCTCAACAGTGACCGTTCCCAGGAGACCAGACATCCACTTTATGTACATGTGTACTGAACCTTTTGATCAAAAGAAAAAGATACAAATTTACAAGAAAATGTAGTAAATAAGTGTTGATGACTGAATGAGTGATTCAAAAGCAAAATGGTCTAATTTTTTAATCTGAACCATCGACCTATTTTAGGCCCATTTCAACTATTTTATTTTCAATGTACTTGTATTTATTGCAATATCCTTGCTAATTATTGTTTTCAAACACTTAATGGGGGTTAAAATGTCACTAATGCCTAATGGAAAATGTACAGAACATTCTATTTAGAAACAATTTTACTTATTTTTAGTATCTTTTAATTATTTATTATTAAGGACATCTGCATGAAAATAAAATCTTTGCTTTTTCAAGAGTTTAGCTGCTCTTGCTGCTTTTTTCTACACTTGAAATACTCATCTTCCATTTTCATACCAGTCATTTCCAGCATAGCTGATTGTGATGTCACACACAGAAATGGGACTTCAGATAGATCAATTATGGACATTATTCATCTGTCCATGACTCTTAAAGAAACAAAGATTTGTTTAAATGCAAATGTTGCTAGTAATAAAAAAACAACAAGGAAAGGAAATATGATAAATATAGGTTAGATAAGCAGAACTTTTTTCTAAATAGACATTTTAAAGTTGTACATGAGGTGTCAGCAGCTCTTTAATGACAACATGATCTAAGACAGATGTACATGGTGGCAAGCAGTTGGGAAAAGCCCAAGTTAGCTCTTTCTCTGAACAGAGCGGAACAGCTGTGATCTTTGCAATAGAACCTGTGCCTGTTTCTTATAATAGGTTGGTCCTTTTGCTATTATTTTTCACCTTTCCACCAACCTGTTTATCTACATTTTGCCCCTAATCAATCTTTATAATACAATTAAAAAATAAAATAAAATAAGTCAAAGCCTACACGTATCTCTAGTCTATGTGGTCATTTAAATGTTTTGGAGAAAATACAAACATCTGCATCAGATAGGGCTGATTAGGGATGCTAGCAGGTGTTGCAATTTTCCTTGGTCCCCCTATATAACTGGGGCTCCAAAAACATGTACAGTAACTCCTCACTTAACGTTGTAGTTATGTTCCTGAAAAATGCGACTTTAAGTGAAACAATGTTAAGCGAATCCAATTTCTCCATAAGAATGAATGTAAATGGGGGGATGGGATAGGTTCCAGGGAAATTTTTTTTTTGCCATTCGGTACAGTACTATAGTTGAGAGGTGCCCCCGCCTTACCCCACGCAGGCACAACCCACTGGCACTGGAGACAATGAGGCAGGCAAGGAGGAGGCTGAAGGTGCTGTAGGCTAAGAGAAGCACGTTGCGCAGCAGCAGCGGCAGCTTCCCCTACTCAGCAAGCACTAGGGGCAGGGGGCTCAACGCTCGGCCTGCCCACTCCACCCCTTCCCCCAAGCCCCCACCCTTAACCCACCTCTTCTTCCCCCCTCCTCCTTTACTCCGCACGCCACGTCCTCGCTCCTCCCCCCTGCCCACAGAAATCAGCTGGCTTGCAGCGTTCAGGAGACAGGAGGGAGGAGCGAGGACATGGCGCGCAGGCTCCCCCCTCCCTCCTGCCCGTGGCAATCAGCTGGTTTGTGGCGTTCGGGAGGCAGGGGAGGGAGGGGGAGTCTGCGCACCGAGTCCTCGCTCCTCCCCCCTCCCTCCTGAAAGCAGCAAGCCAGCTGATTGCCGCAGGCAGGAAGTGGGGGGAGGAGGTAGAAGGTGCTGATCTGCGGGGTCTGCCGGCGGGCGGGAGGTGCTGTGGAGGGGGGCATAGGGGAGCTGATGGGGGGCTGCCAGCTGTGGACAAAGCAGGCAGCCAAACAACGTTATAGCAAAGCTTTGCACAACTTTAAACGGAGCATGTTCAGTAATTGAGCAGGGACGTAAGATCGAAACAACGTTAAGCGAGAGGACGTTAAGTGGGGAGTTACTGTACTAGCATTCTCAGGCCATCTCAGGAGCCCTATTTTCTATTTTAATCTTCCAAGTTATGTAGCACTAGGGATGTAAATATTGTTTAAAAAGTTAACTGGTTAAACGATTAAAATTATATTGTTTAACTGAGGCAGCCGGGGCTGGGGTCCCTCTGGCGGGTGAAAGGCCACCAGGGCTGGGGCTGCTCCGGCCGGCCAGTGGCGGGTTAATGGGTAAGGTCGGTTAACAGTAATCCTAATGCTTACCGGTTAACCTAGGTAGCACAGATTCAGGCCCTCAACAGCTTGATTGTACACGTATTGTGAAAAACTGACTGGATGACTCAGCTGGCCTGGTTTTGGCTCAGATTACCTGGTCCAAAATCATCGAATCATAGGGTCATTTAATCTACTCCCCTGCCAAGATGCAGGATTTGTTGTGTCTAACCATCAAGACAGATGGCTAGCCAGCCTCCTTTTGAAAACCTCCAGTGAAGGAGCTTCCACAACATCCCTAGACAATCTGTTGATGAGAAACGGAGGATTTGGGCTAAGCACAGCCTTGTTTTTTTGCGTACAACTTCAGCTGCAGGAAATGTGCAAACCCAAAGAAAGATTCAACTGCACTCATTTCACATATGAATCCTGGAATAAAATAAATTTGACTGAATACAGCCCTTTTCCCACTCCATCACTTGTGCCTGCATTACTGTTATTGGACTTGTTATTGGAGTCATGAAGACTCTTTGGTCTCAGTGATTTCAATATCTATGCTTTCAATTTGCACACTGGCAATAGCTGTAGCATGCTGACTCTAGATCTCATAGCATCATGGCAATCATAAGATTATCCCAGGTGGTTTATGGCTCAACTCATGCTGATGTTATACTCTTTTCTTTGGGATGGATCTAGAAATGAGCGTTAAACATGTATTGTAATCATTTTCTGATCGACGTCTCCCCTAGGCTAAAAGTGAAAGCCTTACTTGACTCCTGTCAGCTTGGTAGACCTTTTTCTATATTTCATCCTCGGAAACTGTTAGATCCAATGAGATGGCAGAATAGAAGGGGGAAATATTGCTTTTCAGTGTTTGGGCCTCTCTTTGATGGAGTGGAACACAACAACTATCTATTGCTCAACATCAGTGAAGACACTTGGATACCACCTACTCTCAAGTTAGTCGTACCAAAGGCGGCGTCTTAGAATGCTTGGGACTGAAGAGAAGCGCTTAGTCTGACCAGTTGTGTCAGAGAATTTTGCCACTCCTACACTATGGCTGAAGTGGTGGTGAAAGCAGTGTTGTTCTCCTCAGCCACTGCATCTGCAAACACCTGACCAGTGGTGGTGTTCAGTGTTGTGAATGCCCGTGTAACTGAGACTGTGTTGAAGTTTAGTTCCTGGCTGTGGAGAACTGCCATCTTATTATGATGACAAGATTGAAGGGATTTGGAGCCATTCCCCGCATGCTCATCTCCCGGTTGGTTAACAAGTCAGAACTGCCAATATGAGTGAGCACAACTTCAGCAGCGTTATGCAGGCTTCAAATACCTGCTAACGGGGTCAACACAAGATCCCTACTACCTTGTTACAAGGGGTAGTTGAGTGGTAGCTTTTGTGATGTGGACACATATTTGTTGACTGAAACCATCAAGTGCATTTCAAAGAGTTCATTGTTCAGCTATTAGATGTTAACAATTTTTGGTCACTACTGACCTGGCCTGCATTTGAACTGGCAATCAAGAGTTGAGGTCTGTATCTCATTACCAATGCCCTGAGTCATTCAATCATTAAATATGAGAACGAGGCAAAAAACAGTCAAGTCATAGCTCATGATGCAGCTTAATGTAGTTTTTAGGTGTGTGATTTACTTTTGGGCTGGAAGATGGGGTTTGACTGCAGGCAAGGAAGAGGTCACACTGCTAGTGGGAGTAAGCTCCTGGTTTTCCAACACCTGATTTTCGGAGCGGAATTTCCTACGGATTGGTTTGGATGGTGGCTGAGTAAGCAGAATCTCCTTTGGAGAAAAACAAACAAACAAAGATTCAGTTAGTCCTTAAATAAGTCAGCGTCTAAAGACATGCTAAAATGTTGATGTGGCGAAAAAAAGGGCTATGATGAGTGAATGCTTTTGACACAGAAACTGCTGAAGTATGGCCTAAGCTTTGTGCTCTTTCAATTTTGACTAAATTCAGTAATAACTTGCTTTTTAGAAACTGCATTCTGTCATTTTAATATTAATTTTCTATATTTGCAGGTTGGCTATTTTTGTTGGTGTGTCTTGCCCTCCCTCCCTTCAATTGTCTTGCATGCATTACTTCTGTTTTATCTTAATTTGGACTGTATGCTGTTCAGGGCAGGGACTGTCCATGCAAATGTGTGTACATGCGTCTGTGTACAGGTAGCATACTGGGGCCAGAACTCCAACTAGGGCTTCTAGACATTACCAGAATATAATAATTAAAAAATTATGCTCTGTGTAATATGAGGATTTTGCCTGCATACGCTGCCATCGTGATCAACACAGGACACCTTAAATTTCCCAGGAATGAACAATATTGATCGCCAGCTAAGGATTATAAAGCATCTACTCATTATATGGCCTCATCTCATCCCCATAGAATGTGAGTGCCTCACAAACATATCAATTTATCCTCATGACACCTCTGAGAGGTACAGAACTACTACCAACCTCACAGTACAGCTGGGATTCAGTGTCTGAGAGAGACTGACTTACCCAAGGTCACACAGAAAAGCTGTGGCACAGCTAGGAATTGAACCCAGATCTCCTGTGTCCCAGGCAAATGCCTCAAACACAAGACAGGTTTCCTCTATCCTATGATGTCGGTCCCAGAAATACTTTCCCTTTTAGAGGCAGCTCGGAAACTGGCTTACAAAGACCTACATGTAAACCATCATTACAGAATGAGTGCACGTGAGGCTAGGGATTTGTCATGGAGAAGTACATGAAAAGATGTGGTCAGGCTCAGGTAGAAAAGACAAAATACATTAATTTTTAATAAACTAGGCCAGAAGTGCTTTCATTATTTTAATTAAAATATCCTTAATTTTGCCCAAAACTTTAACAACACTGCAGTATCAGGCTGTTATAATAATAATATTATTATGAAGCTTAGCTTTCATAGCACATATTTCATCTGTAGATCTCAAAGTGCTTTAACAAAGAGAAGCCTGTAGTATCATCATCTTCATTTCACCAAGCAAGAAGCTGAGGCACAAAATGGTAAAGTGACTTGCCAAAGGTTACATAGTAAATTAATGGCAGAGCCAGGACTAGAACCCATCTTTCATTATATGGTCTAGTGGTGTATTCACTGGACCAGGCTCCCTTACTTTCTATGTCTTAGGAACCAATTAATACAATACAAATAAATTAAACAAAGTAATACACCTTTAAATGACCCAGTGAAGTGCCCAAAAGGCTGTAATATGTAATCTGAGTCAGCAGAGGGCTATTGTGGGTGTTTTGCAATAAAAAGTAATTTAAGGCCATGAATAGAGTTAGCGTTATGAGAGGGTAGAGTCTCTAATATTCCAAAATCCCACAGGGTTCCATGACTACTTTAACAATATTTAAAAGAACCAACCAAAAAAAACCACAAAAAAAAACAGGATCTGTTGCACACCACCCAACATGGAAAGCCACTTGCCTTAAATATGTGGAATACCACAGTCAAAATAATCACATGGCATTGTATAATTAATGTATTTGCTTACTGCTTATTAAAAAAATTTATACCCAGGCTGAGAGCGATTACATCTACATACCAGATTTTCACAAGATATTTTTGACTATACACTGTTTTGCTTGTTTTCACAATGGAGATGGGTCCCTTAGTGTTTGTTAATTGAAGTGAGTGAATGTGATCCTCGTGTAAGTTGTTGGTTTAATAGTGTTAGTGCCTGAGTCCCCCACTTACATAGAGAATGGCTGCAGTGTGAGTCATTGCAATGGAAGCTCCCCCACCCTGTCTCATTAGCATGCCCAATCTAGAAAGGGTAGGAACACCACTTGGGGCAGAGGATAGTTCAGCCTCTATGCGTATTCAGTCCTGGGCCTCCTATGTGGCTGCCAATAGTGATGTTGGTTTTATGAATGTGGACACCAGGCTGCTAGAATCTGAAATGAGACCAAGAGCTCATTTCCAGGACCTCACTGAACAGCCATCAAATGGTAATATCTGTCAGTCAGTATTGCTGGCATGAGCTGGATTTCCACCACTAACCTTTAGGAGAAAGGCCCAGAATCTCATTTCCAAAACTCAGTCCTCTGGTTCCCCTTTGTTTTTTTTAAATAATTGAATAGTATCTATGTTTGCCATTTAATTGAACAGGGTAGCAGAAGAGTGTAACTATTATATGGTTATAGATCTGGAGTAAGATTGCGCTTTGGGGCCTCACACTTGGCAGGGTTGAATAGCTCTCTCTGAAAATGTCACGTGAAACGACTAGGGAACCTGTGTGTGATTTCTACATGCTTGAATGAGTGAGAGCTGGGGAAATGCAAAATACACAATCTCTGTTAGTATGGCAAAAACAGCCAAACCTGGATGTCAAAAAGCCCCATTTTCATGAGTGCTATTTGAGGGGCTGGTACATTCCTAAAGCCAGACAAACAGAAAACACAGAGACCCTTACTTGGCAGGATGATAGGGAAGTCAGTCCTTTTGAGAACAAAAGAAATTTGAGTTGCACAAACTGATCTGAAAGCAGTTCTACTATCCTGTAGTTTGTTTTGGGCTGAGACAATACCACCAGTGCTAACTGAACTTGGAAACTAGCCTATAAGAAGTTCGTTGGTTAAAGATAGACACATTGAGCCTGCCAGAAGGTGCCAGGCAGATAAGTTGAAAGTATCTGGTTAAAAACACACCTGGATAAGACACTGATGACAAAGCTAGCTTTTTAAGATGTGAGTTAGATGGACTTTTCAGCTATGTCCTAGGCAACATCCCATAATTGTAATTAAGCTTCTCACCCTCCTAGTGACTAGGGGGAAGAGTCTCAGGGATCTCTCTAACTACTGGTTCTCTCTATTGTGTTTTTCTAATAAATTTGCATTCACTTAAAAACTACCTGCATGTAGTTTGGGGAAACTGTTGTGCTCGTTTGGAGAGATGAGCACTGCTGGTTGTTCTAGGAGGAAGGAAGCTGTCTTCTGAGCAGTAGTCACTGGTGCCTAGTGCAAGTGGTACATTTGTTGGTGCCAGAGTCCCCACTCAGTACATTCGTCCCTTCCTCAATAAAAAAGCAACACCCAAAAGGAGTTCAAAGGAAGTGTGGGGAGGGGAGGGGGAAACCTGAGTGAAGCATCAGGAAGATGCACGTGGGAGAGGGTTCAACCCCATAAAAAACATTGGAGAATGAGGAAGAAAATTAAAGAGATTAATTCCCTGGTAAATTCTGGAAGAGCAGCTGCAAGTTCCTGCATTGTAGGAGATGATGGCATTTCAAAACAAGCGTTTTATGCTCTAGACGTCAGCTTTTTTATATGGATGCTCTGCTATAAAAAACTTCCTAATGACAAGTTAAGTTCTATTGATAAATTAGTTCCTGAAATGGACAAGTAAACGCTCCATAACCACTGGGCCCTCCTGAAACTTACACTTCCCAGAGGCTCACTTTGCCCTGCTGCCCCCCTACTCCCATCCAAAACTCTCCCCCCATCTGTGTCCCGCTGCCCCCATATCACTAAGCTGTCCCTTGCGGGGGGGGGGCGGGGGGAGGGCTGAAGTTCTGCAGAACAACTCTGATAGATACTCCTGCCTCCTCTTTCATTGTACTGAGGAGGAGGATCTTCAGGCCACTGCTGCAGATCTCCTGCAGGCCTGTGCCCTGGGGATACACTCCAGGAAGTTGGGGTGGGTGGGGCTAGTGGCTATTTAAGGCTGCCAGTTTCAGGAGCCCAGCTACATGTGGTCAGCTCTATAGTGGGCTGGGTTGGCTGTAGCTATGCTCTCTCTGGCTTCTTCTCTGCAAAGCTGCCTCTGGTGGCTAGAGGTCATATGGGTAACTGAACATCAGGAGCAGCTGCAGCATCTGGCACAGGAGCTACCAGCCAAATAAACAGGTCATGGTGCTCATTTGGGGAAGAAACATCACTGGGCAGGGAGAGGCAGGGAGTACAGAAGGAAAGCGGAAGAAAGCCCACTTTACCACCTGTGGGGGTGTTTTAACAGCTCCCTCTCCCACCAGACCTCACCCAAACTCTCCCGACTCTCCTACAGGCCACCTAGACTCTCACCTCCACCCATGCATCATGCAGTTCCGTCCCTTTCAAGAACACCCCTCTGTGGCAGCATCTGGTACCACACTGTGCCGTACATCAGCACTAAATAGACACTACGTAATGTCTGTGCTGCATTAGTACTGGTGGAGTATTATTGGAGATCTTAGGCCTCTAACTCCTAATTAACAACTGCCCCTGCTACTGATCTTAGATGGAAAGGACTGAGGTGGCAGCCAGAGTGATGGCTCAAAAGCAAAGGCACAAAGGGGTGTGACCCTAAAAGGCACTAGGAGGAAAATGACATAACCCAGTCCTTTGGAGTCACGCCTCCTCTTGGTTCGCAATAGCCGGAATGTGTTGACCTTCCCGGCACGCTGCAAAGCCCAACTTTTCGGGAGGGCTACCAAAGAAGCAACTGTTGTTAGGGGAAAACATACAGGGGAAGAGGAAGTTGGGGGCTGGTTTGTTTTTGTGGTGCCTGATTATTTAGCACACATTCGGGGGTGTTTCCTATTCCCAGCATTTGTCAGAAGCACCTAGAGCATTCAGAGAGGTGCCTCTTGTTGTTTCATAAATCTAAAGAAATAAATAAGCCAATGTGGGCACAGGGAAACCTTAAAGAGCATGGGTGAAATCATGGCCCCACTGAATTCAATGGCAAAACTCCTAAAGATGTCAATGGGGCCAGGTTTCACCCCTGGAAAATGCAAGGCTGTAGTTACAGCATATCTATTTTATATGCCTGCAAGCATATAAAACCTGTAATTCATGTTTTAAACAAAGTCCTGCAATTCTATACATATTATATAAGAGATCCTGAGCTCTAATAAACTGGTGTACTTATGCTGGATCCTTAATGTCAGATTTTTAAAATGTTTCATGTTGGAAAGGCTGGAGGGAAATGAGGACCAGACACCATTGATCTCTTTTCCCCAATTCTTTAAGGGCCCGTGTGTTTATACTGTAAACAAATGGCAAGTTGTTTTTCTTAATGCACATGTACTGACGTGTGGATTGAAAGCTTTCTTAATGATTTATCTGAGCTGATGGTGGATGTCACATGAGTCCAATTCCCCCTGGTGTCCTGACCTCCAGAAAAAGTAAACATGTAAAAATGTAACCCTAAACCTCAGTTTAATTGCTTTAAAACTTAAAACAACTAAGGTCAGTTGATGAAGCCAAAAAGATAAAGGCAGATCATTCAACAACGGCATTAAACATATTGGCCTTACCTTTCTCGTTGGGCTGCTTTCTTCTGTCTGTGATGGAGCTCTATTCATCTGAGGATGTAATTCCATCTCAGATACTTGCTCTGTCTGTAACAACAAATCAGTCACCGCTACACCCAGAAAATGACTAGCAGTCATGTACAATAAAGACAAAGAAAGCAAACACTAGACACAAAAGGAAAGTTACTTTAGCAATTTAACTCTGAGGGGGAAAGTTATGGTGACAGCTAAGTGAATGACACACGTCTTTTGTATATTTTTAATTAAACCATTTCCCCCCTTTATTGTGATAAGAAAACAAGAGAAAACTTTTTGTGAAAAGCTACAAATGGCAACGTCTCTGAACATAAATGGCCTGCTACCCAGGAGTCTTTTCTAAGGTTTGGTTCCTACAATATAGCACATAGAGCTCTTCCATTATGAGAAAAGAAAAGCCACAGCAACAACTACAAAGGTCAGGGGTGCAAACTGTCACTGGATCCTGAAGACTCCAGTTGAAAAACTGAACAAATAGTAATATGAACATATATTGAGATCAAATGATATTCAGTGGGAGGGAGGGGTTTACAGGGGAGCCTCTGACTGTGGGTGCTAAGGCCTAGAACAAGAAAATGGGAAGTACCGCAAAAACTGTGATGATGTCACTTTATATACAAGGTATAGAAAGAGACAAATCTACCTCCTTCCTGTCCTAATCCAGCTCCAAATAGAAAATAATTGCAACAGTCAAAGCATTTCCAAGGAAAAGTCCTTAAATGTAACAGGCTAGGCTGAAAATTAAAACAGGGGGTTACTGCACTACAGCACGCTCACTTCTCCAAAATGGTTTATTTCTGTGCGGCTACATTTAAAGGGTTAAGTCCCGGGCTCCACAGGCGTCAATGGCAAAACTCCCATTAACTTTAGTGGGGCCTGGATTTCACCTAAAGACTCTTACCAATAATTTATCAAGCACGGAATAACCTATTCTGTTATTGCTGACAGACTCTTGCTGAGAGACTTTGGAAGCAATGACAGTCCCTTCATTATCATGATCTAGAGCAGTCGAAGTTACTTCAATGCCTCTGATTCAGCGCAACCCATAAATCAAACCATGTCAGAATTAGATATAGATTATAACATATTTAAAGAGGGGCTTTATCATACCACTTCCACTCCCTTCACAACAGAAGCATGGAAGCTGGTGGGGAGAGGAAGCTCTGTCGTGTTTGCTAGTGCTCTACAACTGAAAGGGGTAGAAATAATGCTAGGAGAGGGATTTGTGATCTTCCTTTAAATGCATATGTAATTCCTCAAGACAGAAGGGAAAATAAAATGCGATGGCTGACAAGATTTCCCTTTTCCTCCTTCAAGTATGGTACATTTGAACTACAAACCAATGCTAAAAAGAATTTGCCAGGGGGCTAATATGTGTACTAACATTTTGATTCCGAAAACCTTCCAGGTATTGCTAGGCTGAGATAATAACTGAAGGCTCCTGACATACAGAGGAATGAAAGGGGGGAAAGGGCACACTCTGCTGAATCACTGAAATCAAGGATTTAATTTTTTCTTAATAAAACATGTCTCTCTGTTATCCAGTGAAAAACAATAGATTCCCTACTTTCCAGAACCATTTCTTGTGTAACAAAGAAATTCAGGACCAAAACACAGGCTTCAGTGGCTTGGCAACAGCATATCGGGCAGGCACTCCAGGCATATAAATTCTAATGAATGATCTTGGGACAGCAGAGCTCAAATGCATCACGGAGGCAATGAATTTGGACACCGGGGGAATGAAAATCTCCGCCCTCACCCACATTCCTTTGAGAAAGGGTTGATTCACAGAGAAAAACCAATGATGATGGCCCCAGAGGGAGCCATGTGGTATGTCCTCCTGCTCAGAAGAAATGTACGGAAGGGGACCACATGTAACTGAGTGAGAAAGGAAGCAGGAAAAAATCAAGTAAAAGATTCTAGGAGGATAGTTTGAGATGGAAGGAAGAGATAACCAGAGAAGCACCATTTGGTTCTGACTACTGATTAGATTTTGGCAGGTGCAAAAAGGATCATACTTCAGTTGCAAAGCTACAGCGCTTTACTCCCCTCATCCCCCCGCCACCGACTGCCTTCACACACACATACACACATACACACATACACACACACACACACACAGGTTGGGATTTGCAAAAGTGCTCAGCTCCCATTGAAGTCAATGGTAAAACTCTCACTGAAGTTACTGGGAGCAGAGTCAGGCTGCCTTTGACCATCCCAACCTACAACTAAACTGATCCAAAAAGAAAGGCCTCACAGCAGAACAATGTTACTTAAAATAATATTTGTAAAAGGAAAGAAAAAAGTACAAGTTTTGGACACTATCAGATGCAAATATTGAACCAAGTGTTGATGCCAATGCTAAAGGAAAAGATTTCAGAATTTCCTGCCGATCTGATGACACAGCATTTTTTATGTTTATTGGCTATTTGAGTGCTGTGGGCATGGGCCACCCATTAGAATAACAGCTTCAGTGATTGCAGGGTTACATTTCTATTGTACTGTTCGCTGCTGTCAAAAGCCATTGGTGTTGGTACCGCCCTGCCTATTCATTTGTGATCATGAGGATCATACCCCCGTGTGGAATGCGGATCTCACAATACAATTGGGTACGGCTAACAAGAGAGGTCAGATGGTTAAATACATACACAGATTTTATAAAAGAAAGGAATCAGTTCTGGTACAGGAGCTGATGTAAAATGAATACAACCACTGGTTGTCGTGTCCTTAAAGTGCCACCTAGTGGTATTTAGAACAGGTCATTACTGTGTTTCTCAGAACACAGTCCGCACAAGAGATGCATGCATATTCATCAGCTTGGGACTGATCTGATGGTTCTGAATTCATTCACAAGCAGGGGTGAAAGTAAGGCGGTACGGCATACCGGTAAAAAGTGGTTGCCTGTACCGGCCCATACCGCTGACTTTAAAGTGCTGCTGCTCCTTTTGCCCACCCCACACCCACCTGGCCGTCAGCAGCCCTGCCAGGTTCCTACTGTCAATGCCGCCGATGCGGGGAGGGGCACAAAAGGGGCAGCGACATTAAAGTGCTGCCGCAGCAACATTAAAGTGCTGCCACAGCAAAAGGACCCTGCTTAAAGAGCTGCTGCAGCAGCGCTTTAACATCCCTGCCCCTTTTGCCCCCCCGAGGCCGCCGTCGGGGGTGGGGGCAAAAGGAGCAGCTACCCAGGGGCTGGCGATTTAAAAGGGCCTGAGGCTCCGGCCACTGCAGGTAGCTGCAGTGGCTGGAGCCCTGGGCCCTTTAAATTGCTGCTGGAGCCCCAGGGGGTGCAGGTGGGCTGGCTGGGGGACACTGACCCCCCCAGCCTTGCCCCTTCCGGGGAGGAGGGGGGGGAAGAGCTCCCCCCCCGCCCCCCCACCGGTAAGAGAAATTTTACTTTCACCCCGGTTCACAAGGCAGGCGGACAACAGGCTACACTGGAGACAGCGTGTATGAACTCTTCTGAACTTTCCATTTCCTCTTATAAAAAGAAAGCCTGGTCTATACCTAAAAGTTTTCCTAACACAGCTACATTAGGTGTATGAAAAAAAATCGGCCCCCTAACCAACATAGCTATGCCAGCAAAAGCCCTAAGGTAGAAGCAGTTATACCAGTAATAAAGTATTTTTACCAGTATCACTTATTTTGTTCGGGGAACTGGTATAAGATATAGCAGCAAAAGCATTTCCCCTCACTGGTCCCACTCAGATTTTAAAGGAATAGTCATACAGACAACGGGTGTGTTACTTTTTCATGAGCTGCCTCTGCTGGGGATTTCCCCTTTGAGGAAGATCCAGAGAAGAGATAACAGTCAGGACGGCCTGGGCAAATACCAGAGACATAGTAGACCTGAGGGGATTCATGGGATTTTGGAGCCAGACCTCTTTCCTCATGGAGGTAGCAATCTCTCTCTCCCCAGTAAAAGAATGCAGAGGATACTCCACAAGAAGCAGCTACAGGTATTCATCTACATGGGAATGATCTGGTCTAAAGTTATTTCAGAAACAGTGTGGCATTTATGACAGCTTTTTTCTTTTGGCAGGGGATTTCCCCCCCCATTCATTTCACTGCTTTCACCTTTGGCTCTACATACCAGCACCTGTCTCTCTTGCTGTGGGCTGAGTGCAAGTTGCTCCAGAATATGTCACAATGCCACTCTGAGCAGCTGCTATGGAGCACGGGGAGAAGGTGATCACTGACAAGCAATGTGAGGTGTGCTCCCTCTATTCTATTCCATTCTAGCTCTTTTACCATGCTCATCAGTGAATACCTGGGCATCTCTCCTTCATTCGGGAGCTGAGCAACATGTTCCTTGCTTCCCATGTGCTTTTACAACTCTATGGTATGAGGAATTCTTCCTTGGTGCTAAAGACTTCAGTCTTCTACTGTAGAGTCTGAAAGTCTTCAGCATGTAAGCACCACTTTACAACTTAAATGCAAGGCCTTGTCTACACATGAAAGTAGCACCACTTTAACTACATTGGTATAATTAAAGCACTGCAATCTACTGAGTGTGGATGCAGTTAGACGGATATATAAGCTATACTTGTATAAGGCATTTTTATACTGTTATAACTGCGTCCACACAAGGGGTTGTACCAGTATAACTATTTTGGTTTAAAAAAAAAAAAAATCACATCCCTAACTGACACAGTTATAGTGGTACAAAACCTGTGTGTATACCAGGCCTAAGACTATACTATTTTGGGAAAGAGTAATAAAGGACTAAACAAAAGACTAACATTAACATACTCTTCTATTTCAAAATTCTTCAAAATTTTGAAATAGAAGAGTTCACAAGGCAGGCGGACAACAGACCAATGTACAGCAGTTCATATTCCAAAGAGATATTCCTCCTATGTTCCTCAGCTGCACATCATATTCATATTTTCGGAGGATACTCTTACCCTCCAAGCAGGGGGTTACAAGGGCGTGGCTACACTTGCGAGTTAGAGCGCATTAAAGCAGCCCAGTGCACTCTAACTCACGACCCATCTACACTGGCAAGGCATGTAGAGTGCTCTGACTCCGCAGCTAGAGCGCTCCTGGTA